GTGTATACCCCCCTCACATGGGGGTAAAACCCACATGTATAAAATATTTTTTTATTCAAGCGGGTTTCACCTCCCATATGAAGGGGGTGTATACCCCTATATACATGGTGATGTACCCACTAGTAAAATTGAACCAACTATACATGTACTCTTCATCGATAAGAGAGATGCTTCATTTACACCAAGATTTTACACCTTGGTGTACATCCTCCTCACAATAGGGGGCCCGCGCAATTGTGAGGGCCGGACCCTCCATTGGGAGGGGGGTGTACTGTACAAATAGCCCAATTCCATCGATAATGTGGCTATCAACAGTACTAACTCGTCATTGACGAGATGGCTAACTTGAAATTCACCAAACTCCTTATATGTCAGACCTCACAAGATGATTGTTGTTTTGAACAAATTAATCTTGAAATCTTTGTGCATATTTGAGTCTTATAGCTAGATCAAATTGCTCTTTGAAATTTAATGAATTCTAATACTATATTAATATTTAGAGTTCCATTTTAAATGCCAATTTTACTAAAAGGGATAGTTTGAACCTTTATATGTTAATTAATATTTATTCAATGTGAGATTTATTGCTTAACAACTATCATGAGCCTATTCGTTATGTATTATATAAGACTATAAAAATATATGAAAATACTATAAACATATCCGAACTACGCATAATTAAAGTACATTAGGAAAGTGTTTGTAAATAATTTAAATTATAAATAAATAAAAATGACCAGTGAATATTACTTATGAATCCCTCTAAATGTGAACAAAATGTGACTAGAATATTTATAAATAATTTATAAACATGAACAAAACACAGATTTAATTTTAATCTACTTACGGGTTTCACTAAATAATCCACCAATTCGAGAGTTCTCACTCTTAAAAAAACCGTTAAGAATTCGAAAAAGTAGTTCGAACACACGATGCCCAGACGTTAGAGGTATTGAGTAAAGTGAAAGAGAATAATTTTTTTTTTTTTTTTTGAGGAAAGTGATTATTTATATAAAATTTCAACATCCCTTTTGCCCTATTCTGTTAATTAAAATCTTGGATGATATGTTTGTCTTTACTAATGGGGCAGCACAACCCCCACGAATTAATGTTCACACTATTTTTTATTTGAAAATATTTCCATTTTAAAATGTACATAAATAGAGAAAATAATATTAAATATTGTTGTTGCGTTATTTCTTAGGATGCTTAAAATAAAATACAATTGGATAGAAGTACTTAGAATGGATAAATTGTGATTATTCATGTCTTGCCCATTTCGAGTTAATCTTTGGATTCCTCCCAAATTGTGTCTTTTATGTCAAACTGTATATTGTATTGTTGATTCTTTAAAATGCATTCTTTCTTGTAAAGCATTCATCTTCGTACTTAGAATAGGTTAATAACAGTGAAAGCACTTTGTTAAACTGACACCAACACTGAGAGACGAAAGCTAGGGGAGCGAATGAAATTAGACGTCCCAGTAATACTAGTCATAAATGTTGGATACTAGGTGTTGTACGTATCGACCCCGCCTTCTATGGTTTCTTTTTTCTAATTTACTTAAAAATTAATTGCATATAAAAAAGGGGGGAAAGAAACTTGGAGCATCATAGAGGTTATGTAGTGCTTGCAATTGACTTTCACAGACTAATTGTCCAATTCACTCAAAGCTGAAGACACCATAAAGACAGCCAAATGATGGTGAATTACTTCTATTATCAATAACAAGTGCTCCCCATATTCCTATACATAAATTCGAAAATTCAATCTTAAATTAAAAATGTACGCGTAGCGAACGAATTAAAGAAAAAAAAAATTATCAATTGCATCCCTCACTCCAAGAAGTTGGAGTACTTTTGTACTTATCCCAAAGTGCTCGAAGTTTTTAACTGTCAAGGCTTTAGCACCAAAAGCAAAAAAGCAAGAGTTGGAATCACTTTATAATTTTGAGTTCCTAGAAGCACCTTTGGATAGGGCATTCGGGGCATACTTGTAATTCATAAATATAGTCAAGGACAATTTCCGCATTTAGAGTTGTCGGCTATCGGGTCATTCGGATTCAAGATGACTCGACGCTTTAATGCACGGGTCTAGGCATTCCATTCCCTCTCTTGCTTTTCAAAATCGAGTTTGTTACTACCTCTTTCCACGTGAACACAACGTACAAGTCACAATAGAATCAAAAGCATGTGTCACATAATGTCCATGTCTTCATGAATAACTCAAATGGTTCTTCGAACCTTGAAAAGCCTTTTTGGAGTCCGCCGATGAGGCATGGCTTTGAACCTAGCTTGCTAATGAGGAAATGCTTGGCAAATCTCTTCGTCTCAGCTAACTTTTCCTACACCCTTCTCCATAGGCTAGTTAAACGATGAACTTAATTGCCTTGATGAACTCTTCTAAGTTACATGCAAAGCTAAAGGAGAGATACAAAGGTGCATCTAATTTAGAAATTCACTTTATTATATGTCATAGCGTCGATGCTACAAGTACTAATAAAATCAAATAAGAATCAGTAAATTGATAACAACTTCGTTATTCAGAGATTAACAAGTGTTAAAATAATCAAAAGGTCCAAAATATCATTGATCTAAGTTTTTCTATACATACTACACGCATCCCCGTCCCGTTTCCATATGTGGGGGTTACACTTCTATGTGCACCAATGGATATTGATATTTGACATTAGACGCCAAGAATGAATAATGAAGGGAGAGTTGTGGCCATTTTGTAGTGAAGTAAATTAGGTCATGTTCTTTTTATCATTTTTAAATTGTTTTTTGTTTTCGATTTTTTAGAATAGTGAAAACGCGTTCTCTTTCCCATTTTAGAAAATGCATTTTTGAAAACAAGTTAAAAATTTACAAAGAAAACTTAAAACGACAAATTTGTTGTTTTGAGTGTTTTTAGTTATAATCAAGTCAAAATTTTCAAAACGCGTTTTGGGTGTTTTCAAAATACCAAAAAGAACACATTTTCAACAATCTCAAAATGGACACTCAAAACACAAAATCCAAAATGAATTCAAAACTCAAAACACAAAACTTAAAAAAACACATTTTCAACAATCTAAAAATAGACACTTAAAATACAAAACCCAAAATGAATTCAAAATTCAAAACTAAAACACAAATACAACAACTCCTTATTTACTGTGTTTTGTCATTGTTGTATGTCTGTCTTTTAATCCTCTGTTTGTGTCTCATATCAATCGCCATTTCTTAAAACATTTCGATGAAGCCAATCGTTGGTGCCCTAAACTGGAGCCAGGAGGACTATCCTTCAAATTTCACACACTACACACACTGTTACTACTACTAAACGCCACTCACTGTCACGTTGACACATGGCAGCTACCACTACTCGTCTCAAGTTCCAAACTCACCCCATTAAGCCTAAACGCCGCCGCTGCCGTGAGACCACCATTACAGCCTCCTCCTCCTCCGCCGTCGCTGCCTCTTCAGTTTCTTCTGCCTCCTCTACTTGTCAGCAAAGCTGTAGATTTGACACGCCGATTATATTCTCCCCGGAAAATTCTTGGTGCTGCCCTGCTTCTAAACCACTACCTTCGCCGGCGGCTGAGGGAACTGTTACTTCATCATCGTCATCACTGTCACGCTCTTCCTCAAATCTGTGACTCGCCTACTCATATGGACTCCTACTCCACCGTGACCACCATCTACGGTGGCGGTGCCGTCGCCGGACGCGGCGTCGCATCCCTAGAGGTGTCAATCCTGGTGGGCCAGGTCAGCCAACCAACATATGAGCCCGATAACGGTCCGCATGAAAAAAAGCCCGCCCGCTATGGGTTCCGGGTCGGCCCACAAATTTTGGACTACAACCCAGGCCCACCCGCTGACCCATCCCGGTTGAGCCCATAAGGGTCGCGGTTCGCGGGTTGTTTCAAGAATTTTTTATATTGATAACAATTTTTTTTTTGTTAAATGTAAACTAAGAATTGAACAAAATAATAAATTCATATTTACACAAAGAAATGTTTACATAGAATTCAAATTTAATGTTACATGAATTATTTATAACTTTGTAAAGTTAAATAACAATTAAATGCATTTCTAATTACTATTATNGTAACATCATCATTAATTTTATCTTGCATCATTCGATCCTCGAATATCCAATCTTTCACGCATATGAGAGCTTCCAAAATATTTTCTTTAAGTCTAGATGTTCGTTCGTCCAATACCATGTTATCTGCACTAAAAGCAGACTCGGATGCCACTGTTGAGACTGGAACTATTAGTATATTTCGTGCCATTTTAGATAATACAGGGTATGGCCGTTCATTTAATTTCCACTATCGTAAAATATCTAACTTATCCACTTTATCTTCAGGTATTAAATTATATTGATTAAATTGATAATATTTTTCTAATTCAGCAGGGGTGGTACGTGGATTTGTAGTTGAAGTTGAAGTAGTGGATGAAGAATCAAGAACATTACGTTTCTTAGCTATTATGGAGAAAAAAAAGATTTGCCTTTAGAAGTTGTATAAGAGATTGGAGAAGAAGACATATTTTCATTGTTACCATATTTAAAATTTATTTTATTTAAAAATTTTTTTTTTTTATGGGTCACGGGTTAACCGCGGCCCGTAGGGGTGAAACCCTCGAAGCCTGCGGGTTACATCTCTTTGACCCGTGAATCGCCTGCACGGGTCACGGGTCGGCCCGCGGTCCCCGTTTTCACGGGTCTGGCCAACCCGTCCGTCTTGACACCTCTACGCATCCCATGATAATTTTCCGTTGTCGTTAAGCAAATTTAACACCGCGCTCACGGCGGGTCTTCTTAACCCAATGTCACCGCCACCTTTGGCGGATAAAACCCGTTCGAGTCCAACCCTTTTTGAAATGATGGCCAGTGAACCAGAATGCCCACCCAGAGCCACAAGCCTAAGTCAAAACGCCATTGTTTCGGCTCAAAATCATTAAACCTCAAAGGTTTCTACAAACCCATATCCCGAAGACAGGCAGGCGTTAATGCAGCAGCGTCTGATGGATCTTTTGGCAATGAGAAGCCCTGGAAATCAGTTTAACGATGCAGGGTCTGGGGATGTGAAGCTGACTTTGAGTTCAAATGATGGTCTCAGTATTTCTATAAGTGTTCATAGGCAGATTCTTGTGGATCACAGTGGATTTTTTGCTCTGAAATTGAATGAGAAGTGGATTAAGCAGCAGAGGAGCTCTGGGCCGTACGAAGTGGAGATTGTTGATTGTGATGACATAGAGGTTTACATTGAGACTCTCAGGTTGATGTATTGTAAGGACATGAGGAAAAAAACTCATGAAAGAGAATGTCCCTCGAGTCCATGGAATTCTTAAAGCAATAACCATAACTGGAGTTACTTGCATCTGTCGATATCTATATCTATCTGTAACTTTTGTGTGGGTAAGGGGTACTGATTACATCGAATTATACATGAATGAATAAGTATGAATGCTAAGGATGGGATTTTTGAAGTTATTAATGGATGCATTTGAGATTAACTGTGCTAAGAAATGCAAGAGATAAAGTGATTTGATGACTGAAATTGATTGAATTCTTAAGATGATGGAGCTTATGAGACCTTAGAACTGAATGAGATGTGGTCTTCCATGGTGCATGAAATGTCAATGCGATTTGTTAAGTACTGAAATAGATTATATTGTCGGGGTAATCTGATATAGAATATGATACTAGTGCCTTTTAAGGAGTTTTAAATAAGACAAGGGAATCTTGACTATTAGAGTGTGTAATCTTTTCAAGTTGAAATGAAGATGTAGGAGTGACGCAAATCATCATATATGGCAGTTTTTTTATAATTTTATTTATGCATTTCAACAATTTTTCCCTGCAAAGGTTGAAAAATAATTTCAACAGCTATATGTCAAAGCTAATTAATCATTCTTCACGACACCACCTTACCATTTCCCCATTCTCTAGTGTTTTAACATTAGTACATTATTTTTTAGCCACGAGTCTGAGAATGAGAATAAAATTTGAAGTAGAAGACCCCAGATTTTATTTATTTATTTATTTTGAGTAGTGTTGAATTGACTGATACTGGATAGCACGGGTTGGCTGAAAATATGTTAAAAATTTTCAACGATTTGATCGTTTTACATTTCTAATAATGTATGTGGAGAAACATACTCCGATAGTATGATTATTCTTCTATACTGGTGAGGATTTGTCAATGCCATTTTTTGTGGTTCATAACCTTGAAATAATATAGCTTTTATGCTCTTCTTCCAGAGTTGATAGTGAGTTATCTTTTTTGCACTGCAATAAGGTTGCATATCAAATCTTCACTATTATTTCAGCTACAAGTTACAAATTGTATGCTCGTGTGATTACCTACAACATTTTGGTGTAATGTATAATGTATCTAGTGTGTTGATAAACTACAGTTAGACATACAAAAGCAGCGAAAGTTGAATAAGTGTTTTGGTACATAAAGCTACTATCCACAATTATGACTATGAGTTGTTGAACTCTGGTTAATGGTCCTAATGTAGGTTTCTGCAGCAATTGTGTTTGATGCGGGCGTGTTGTCTTGTTTGGAGTACTTGGAGGCTGCTCCATGGGCCGAAGATGAGGAAGAGAAGGTAGCTTTGCTGTTATCGGAGCTTCGGCTTGAAGGGATTGGAGCAGAGGAAGTTCTGAAGAGGGTTTTTCTTGATGTCACACCAGGTGTTGACGGTAGGAGTGACAATGAAGTGCTTATCAAGCTATTGCAGGTCGTTATCGAAGGAAAAGATGAGAAGGCGATGAGAGAGATAAAAGTTCTAGTAACCAAGATGTTACGCGAGAACTCAACGCATAATGATTTGAGGAAAGAGTCATTGTACTCAGCTTGCAATGGGTGTTTGCAGCTGCTTCGCCTTCATTTTTAATGCAGCAGAAGCTGACATGCAGAATGTTGGTCAAATAGCACGGCAGGCAGATAATTTGCACTGGCTATTAGATATTCTGATTGATAGACAGATTGGTGAGGATTTTTTGACGACATGGGCGTCTCAGTCTGAATTGTCTAAAGTACATTCTAAAGTGCCCGCGATCCACAGGTACGAGGTTAGCGGAGTTACAGCTAGGTTGTTGGTGGAATTAGGAAAGGACAGCTATTAGCATCCAAAGATGCCAGGTGTGCACTTTTGCAGACATGGTTGGTACCATTTTACGAGGATTTTGTGTGGATGAGGATGGCGTCGAAAGGTCTTGACAAGCATTTAATTGAGGGCAGCAGGAAATTTTAATGTCATGGTTCAATCGATTTCTAAATTCAGGTGACGATTGTCCCAATATCCAGAGAGGCTTTGAAGTTTGGTGGAGGAGCATTCTGGAGGCGTAATGCTGAGCCTGAGAGGTCTCGTCAGATACAGATAATGACTGCCACAATAGAAAACTCGTGAGTCGTGATTTTGACATGCGGTAATGTCAGGTTCATAGTCGATTAGTCCAATTGGATAGTATGATTTTCTGTTATATTCTTCCCTCAAAACTTTATACAGTAGCTCATTTTGGCTGTGAAGTTCCAAAGACGATGACTAATTTGCGAAGTTTAGTTTGACAGAATACATAGAGAACATAGATTTGATGAAACTTCCGGGATAGTGGATTACTTGGCTCCACACTTGTTGCATAATTTACACACTCTCCATTGTTTACAGCAGCACCAGATCCAGACATCAACTTTGTGTTCTGTAGGTATTCCTGTCGTGTATTTCTTGAGGTTCGAGTGAAGATGGTGTATGTTAGGAGTTTTAAGCTTACATGTCCTGTTTCTCAGTGTTCTTTATTTTTTCTGAATAGTGATATTCTTTTCTATTGGCTTATTGAAGTATCGATTTTCAGCCTAAAATACTTGGTTCTGGTGGAAGTGCTTTAGTTCGATTATTAAGGGCTCGTTTGGTAGGACTTGAAAAGTCAGAAGTTACTCCTGTAATTAAGAACTTGATTTTGAATATGTTTAATAATTGTCTGGAAGCGCGTAGAAGAGCTCGCTTTTCATGAAAGCCTTTTTTTCAAAAAATATTAAGTTTTGACAAATGATACTAAATATGTGATATCTTCCTAGTAAGTTCCGTGTTATGTGTTTTTCGTCGTTGGTTGAATGTTTACTGAAGTGTCTCTTGATCATTACATGGGCTTCCCTGCCTAGATGCTCAGGTCAGTTTCTGGGACGTTTGGGGCCTAGCCCATTTGACACCGATGATGCAAAAGCCCAATAATCATAGTAAATGCGTCCAAGTCACACCAGTCGACTAGGCTTTGGTTGAAAGCATTATAACATATATTAATTATGTCGAAAATACTAAGGTTCTGTTTGATTGCAATGAATTCCATGGAAAATGTCATATTCGAGAAAAACGAATTTCACTTGGCCGTTTGATTGCAACGTGGAAATGAAAACTGAATTGCAAGATACAACCACTTTAAGTTACATTTTTTTTATTTTCATGGAAGACGAATTCTTATAGGTTTGGTGAGTTTTTATTTTCCAACTAACATGGAATCAGAATTCCTTTCCACATTTTCCTATCAAACGGACTATGCTAAAATATCAATATTCTTTTCGGGAAATAGAAAATACAAATTGGAACGGCCTACAAATTGGACCACTTTGATATCACGTGTCGTTGAAGTACCTTAACATATTTAAGATGATATAATAAAACATAATATGAGAATGGGTCACTTTCATTTTTTGTCACTAAAGTTTCAGTGAAATATCAATTGAATCATTTTATTTTAATTTATTTCAATCAGATCATAGACCTTCAATTTATTTTCAACGTTAGTTACTATTTGAACTCGCTGTTACTAGACTTAACGTCCAATCCTCCATTAACTCTCGTTTTTATGTAAATATGTCGATTAATCATATTGTGGTTGTAAATTCTTAATATTGGATGAGTTATTTTCGGTTTTTAACATTGTTCCTTTTTTTATTTTACAGATACAACATGATTAGGAGATGGATATAAAAATGCTAGATTTAATAGATTTTTTTGGATAATACTTGTAAAGAATAAATGCCACAAATTAGCCAACTAAAACATACAATAACAAAAGTAAAGTGCAAGAAATTGAAAAAACAGTAAAGAACACGAGAGATTTTTGCCCTAAAGCAAGAGGCTCGGAATAAATCATAATCCCCTTTTGAGCTTCCGCCAACCGGAAGGAATCACTATATTAACCAAGGATCAAAGTCCGTTCTTCGTTACACAAAGGCACTTTGATGGAATCACTCAAGATTTCTTCAAAGTAATGAAACCCTCACAAATCGACAAATGAATCCACACAAGGATACAAATAAGACTTACTACAAGTCACTTAAGAGATGTATACAAGCTATACTACACTTGATTTACAGGAGAATCAATTTCAGGGAGTGCAGAGAGAGTTCCAGAGACTGAAGAATGAGAGAGTCAATCGTCAAAAAGTCTCAAACCCTAGTATATTAGAGAAGTCTCCAGAAGGTCACCATCCAACGGCTGCTGGGGCGACACTTGGTAACATCTCCACCTTCCAAAGGTAAGAAAACGCATAAGGGTAAAGACGAAACCAGAAACACGCTTTTCATTAAAGCAGTCTAGCCCAACAATAAAAGCCAGCTTTAGCAAAATATCAGTCAAGGCCCAACATCATTGTGCCATATCTTTACAATCTCCACCTTGGTACAATGATCCAGGTTCATCTATAGTATTTTTTCCTTATGGCATCATTAGCTCTTATTACCTCATATGCAAATCAGCAAGTATCAATGTTCACCATCTTTAAACAGTCCAAAAACTTATTTAAAGGCAGCACTTTAGTTCCAACATCAGCAGGATTAAAATGAGTAGAGATTTTTTCAAGTTTTACAGCACCTTGTGAGATAACATCTCTAATGAAATGAAATTTCACATCAACGTGTTTAGATCTATTATGCAAAACTGGATTCCTACTCAAATATATGGCAGATTGGCTATCAGAAAATAAAACAACATCTTTGACAATGCCAAACTCATTTAACAGTCCCTTCAGGCAAATACCCTCTTTTATAGCATCAGTTACAACAATATATTCAGCCTCAGTTGAAGATAATACAAAAATTTTCTGTAATTGAGATTTCCAACTAATGCATGAATTACAAAAAGTATACACATAATCAGAAGTGGACTTTCTATTATCCCTGTTGGGAGGAGATCAACCAATTAGCTTAAGATCAAATGCATAAATGTAAATCAATATACATCAACCGTCAGAAACTGAAAGCTTAAGAACATTAAAGATCAAACTTATACGAAATCAACTCAAGTAAAAACAGAAAGTCTGAATCAGAAACTTATCTTCGTATTAAAGCCCACAGGCTCAAGATTCATACAACCCTTGCTTTAATCACTCAAGAATGAACACCACAATGTTCGAATCAAACCCTAAAGTAAAGATTACACAGATCGACACTCAGACAAGCCCTAAATATCATAAACGGAACTCTCTTTCACTAACAACACGATTCACTCAAGAATCAGTACTCAATACAGGTAAATCACTCAAGATTGCAAGCTATTGAAAGGAAACCAGAAATCAAAATGAGATTATTTGATTTCAACAGTGAGAGAACAGAGAGAACACGAAGAAACGGCGTAGAGAGAGTGAGAGGTAATAGAAGAGTCTCGAAGATTAGAGTGACACTTCAAACCCTAGAAAATGGCTTTTAAATGGGTCACCTAACAGTTTCCAATCCAACGGAGTTGGAGGCAACACGTGGCGACATCACAGCCAT